GGTCTTGCAAATTTCAATACAAGTCAATCTATTACACAATTTCTAGACTAATACCTATACATTCTGAAAATTAATTACCCACTAGCTTTTGCATTTCCAAAAAGTTCTTAGATAGGTAACATAGCCAATGTGTTCTCACTTCTATATTGTCTTCCTGCCCATCAGTCTCTGAAATCCCATATGATCCTAAATCAGTGTTTCTCAATATTGGTAACTTTAAGATATCTGGACTTTAACTCCCAGAATTCCTCCAGCATGCTCCAGACATCTTAAAGTTGCCTCCATTTGGGGGGGGGAGGTCTCTCCTCATCAGTCATGTCTGACTCTAGGGGGCAGTGCTCATCTCCATTTCCTAGTCAAGGGAACCAACATTGTCTGAAGACACTTCCGTGGTCATGTGGCTTGACCAATGATTATATGCCAAGGCACATGGACCGCTGTTACCTTCCTACCAAAGTGGTACCTATTTATCTTCTTGCACTTGCAAGCTTTCAAATTGCTAGGTTGCCAGGAGCTCACCCCATCACACAGTGCTTGGGACTCAATCTTCCAATCTTCCAGTCAATAAACCCAGCATCTTATATACAGCTAGTCCATTGCATCCCTTAACATTGGGAAATACTGTTCTCACGGGATAAGCCTACATCAAAGTCAGGGCCTCTTTTCAAGAAAAGCAGTGAGTCAGAAGATGGCTGCATTTTTCTCCTTCATGAAGTTGGAACTGCAGAATGAACACGCCCAAATAAAAATATTTGAACAACATCTGGAATATATTTATTTTTTTATAAACGCACTTCTAATTGCACAATGGGGCTTCCCTTTGCTCTCTCTCTGTAGTCCCAGTCATATCTATTCTTGAGAATCCTCCAACTTTATGGTATAGGATAGAAAGAAAAAGGAGGCAGATTCCACTCAGGAGCCAGATGTCATTTTGCCACATGAATTACATCATTGGATATATAACCAGTTATGCACAATATATTTGGAGGCAAGCTGTGATAAAGTTGTAGCTCTTGTCTCCCAAGGTATATTTTCTACTCACTGCTTCCCAATGAGAAATCAGAGATGCTTGTGATAATCTGAAGAATTTCCTTAGCAGCTTCAGGCTAATGCAACCTAATTCTTTCTTAACAGCTCTTTTGCAATTCATCATTTTACTATACAGTAGTTGGCTGCTGCTTCCTGGTGTAGACACAGATGATTCCAGCCATTTAGTTTTTATGCAGCGATCACATTTTATTTGTAAACTGTCAGTGCTTTAGGTGATTCTAGTTTAAGAATCTCATCTACTTAATCTTTTTTTTTTTCCACTGGGGTATCAGGTGGTTAGGGCAGGCTTAAATGTTTCTTATTTTGAAAAGTGTATTTGTTTACTACCAGGCACATCTGTAGCATTTCAAATGCTGAGCTTAGTATGCACTGAGGTATTCCCTACCTATGAAGTGTGCTAAGGTGTAGTATTATAGTAATAATAAGAAAGGCAAAAAAAATCTGGATAGTGCACATGGCAGCACCTGTAGATAGAATAGCAGAGAAAAGAACTGGAGGAAATCACAAAATACAAAGACCTACAAAATCAAGGAGGAGGAGGAGAAGAAGGAGAAGGAGGAGGAGAAGGAGAAGGAGAAGGAGGAGAAGGAGGAGGAGGAGGAGAAGAAGAAGAAGAAGAAGAAGAAGAAGAAGAAGAAGAAGAAGAAGAATTCCAATAGCCGTGGGTGCAATCCAAAAACAATTGGTACATCACTTGAACATCACTGACACTGTCAACATCACTATCAATCTACTTTATTATTACTATTATCACTGCAAAAAGTAGCTTTACTTGGAACAGCTTATATCTTATGTTGATACCTTACATATTATTAAACAATAACATCTCCCTATCCCAAGTCTTTGGGAAGGACAGGGGACAAAAATGCCAAACCTGTCTAAACATCTGGCTGACTTTGTGACCAACCATAACAAAAAAGTTTTTTTTCCCTTTAGCCTACCTAATAATACTTTATTTGTTGCTGTTAAAAATATCTTAGCTCCTAGTCAGATGCTGACTCAGAAAAACGGAGGCTTAGGAAATGATGGTGTCATCATATTTTAGAATTGATACCTTAGGTCATGTTAAATAGTTTTTGATATATGTAGCTTTCAGAAAGGACTTCAGGGGAAAAATTGAGGGTGTGACTATTAAGGACAATGATATTATGAGATATTTCTCATACCAATCTCGTTCAGAATATTACCAAGAAACTGCATGATATGGATTTAGGAAAGCCTTACATTAAAAATAAATTTCTATTTTACAGTAAAATTGTTCACGCTCTTCTCCAACTCCTTTCTAGGCCAAAAAATGTTGTGCTTATTATTTTGATAGCTATAATTTAAAATTGGTGCCAGCATCAACTCAATGACTGGATGATAAGTGTCTTGAAACTTCAAGAGAAGCCACTAAATTTTTCACAGCGTTTGGGTGTCATTTTTGATATAATAAAAATATGGTGCCCTTTTAATAATGAATCATACATTATTCCCACAGTTTGATTTACATGCACGGATTAAATGTCATGTTTGAAAAGGTGCTGTTTTATGCTTCCTGAATTTCCATTAAGTAAAGCCAAGCAGCACCTAGCAAAATCTAGCAAACTTCCTACTTTGCCAGGTTGACACAAAGCGTAATAGTATCTCTAGATTTGAACCTCTAGATTTGAATCTCTAGATGAATCTCTTCCGATTAGTGTCAATATATTCTGAATGGCCAAATTTCTGAGTGTGTTTTTCAGAGGACCACACTAGATATTATCTTCAGCTAGAGCATTTTTTATTAAAAGGTTGAATATAAGAATTTAGGTTGCCTGATAGTGTTCCTGTTAGTCACATTAATTACATACGTATTGATGCTTATGTTGAATAATATTAATGTTCTGTATTTTTATTGGGGGAAGTTTTATTTATTTTTAATGCAATATCATTGTGTTTAATTTTAGGAAAAATATATTGTTCAATACTTCATCAACCTTTTCAGTTTTTTATTGACATAGAGCAGATGGTTCTGTTTCCTCAATTTGCAACCCAGTTTGCATGGCATTAAGTGAGATAAATATCCAACCCTAGCACTGCAGCAGCCTGTGGATAATAGGAATAAAAAGAACTTGGGAATAAGAGCCATTTTAGTCATGTGTAGTTACTACAGCACATAAAGATTTGTGCATATTAAACTCAGATCTCTAAGGGCTTCAATAGCCTATCGATGCACAGATGGTCCTCAACTTACAACCATTTGTTTAGCAACTGCTCAAAGTTACAACAGAAATGAAAAAAGTAAGTTATGACCAGTGCTCAACTTATGTCTATTACAGCATCTCCACAGTCATGTGATCAAAATTCAAAAAAAATGAATTATAATCCATATGTCTTTGGAAGAGTCTTCACTTCCTTGATGCATGGCAAATCTTGAATATTTTCAAAATGGAAATGTTTTGGAAAAGTCATGTTTTATGCATTCATTCTTTTTGCTTTTCTGAAATCTGACAAAGTGTTCAGGAAGATCCCCCCTGCAACTCAACACATGAATCACAGGGAACTTTTTTGACCATCAGCGAAGAATCCATTTCCCCTAGTCTGGGATTATTATAAAATTACAATAGAATGTGGTGAAAGTGTGCTTTATACTTGACAGGATGGGCAGATTCACCTTTGGAAGGGTCTCATACAAAATCCATCAAATCCACGAGCACATCAATTCATAGTGGTCAATTATTGAGCTTTCTAGTAATCCAATGGACAAGATTTATCCAATAGATCAGAAGTATACAACACAGATTGCCAGGATGAGAGGCAGTTGCTAAAGGCATGCAACATATATGTCTCTATTGTTGCTGGGATTTTTTTTTCTTCTTCCAGAGGGCAGAGTTGCAAAATTGAATGCGGTTGGAAAGAAATACAAGATGAATAACAATGATAATGATATATGAATCATAATTAATTATATGTAAATTAAATCAAATCAAATTTACTTTACCTTGCTCATTTGTTTTTTTCAGGAATATTGTGCGTGTATATGCATTTATTTTATCTTCTTCCTGACTACTTTTTAGAGGGATGACTCAATATTGCAATACACTAATATAAACTTTTGGCCCATAAAAACTTTTGCATGAATATAAAATAATTTGAAGAAATGTCTATCATCTATCTATCTATCTATCTATCTATCTATCTATCTATCTATCTATCTATCTATTATCTATCTATCTATCTATCTATCTATCTATCTATCTATCTATCATCTATCATCTAATCTATCTATCCACACACACATACACATACATACACACAAATACACACATGTGTATGTATGTATGTATGTACTGGGGAGTAGCAACTTCTCTTTTTCCAAATATTTATCTATTTGGCATTTTGATTTAAAAACTTTGCTCTTTTTCACAAGTTTTTTTCTTTTTCGCAATCCATGAAGCTTAAAACATAGAAAAAGATCTATATACATTCATATATTTATCTGCAGCTACTTATTCATTTATTATTCTAAATCTACTTTGTCCAAATCATATTACAGAGATGACAAGCTGCATAGACTTTTTAAGAAGCAAGCAAAAACCTAAATGGGGCTGACAACGCTGCATAATCTAGGGTTTAATATATCCGGTAATTTTGGAATACTGTAATAAATATATTACTTGCTTATTTGCTCTATAACTGTGCTCAAAAAGTGACTGAAATAATTTCTATATTGAAAAGACAAGATAGAAAATTCTGCCTGTGCCCAGATTTAACCTAAAAATATTAAATAAATTATAAGAGTGTATTAAATATTTCCCCAAACTGATTCAGCTGTGGTGTTCAGTTCTTTAGAATATCCAGCCAACTTGGGGGAAAAAAGGAGCTGGCCCATCACCTGTGGAAGGCACTCAGTTGTGGAAAGTAACGTAGCTCAATACAAAATACTATTTTTTCCAACCACAAAACGTATTAAAAAAAACTTCACTTACTGTGTATATGCTTTGTCCAAAAGAGATCTCCACGTCATAGAAGTTCCCATTATGTCTCACAGGCAGTGACTTTCCAGTCAATTGTTGTCCATCCACTTTGGAGCATGCAAGAAATTTTCCATTAAGTTGTTTACAAATGGAAACCTTGAGACTGTAACTACCTTGTGGCACTTTGTCTTTGATACCCCTTAAGCATTTTAGATGGATATCAGTAAATTGAGATTTTTTAGTGCGGTTAACCTAAAGGACAAGAGTGAGAGAGAGAGAGCAACATTCATTATCAGTACTTTTTAAAACAGTCTTGAAATCAGTTGGGATAAAAGCTTATTCTGAAAGTACCCCTCATCCCATTTTCTCCTCAGTATTATCTAGGTCAATATAATATTTCTCCTCTCTTTCTCTCTCTCTCCCAGTGGAACAACTTGATGGCTAATCTTTTTGTCATCGTGTGCCGAAAGTGCACGCATGCACACATAATGCAAGGCATGCATGACCTCCCCATGCTCCCCGCTCCTGAGCATGCACGCATGATCCCCCCACGATTCCATGTCCCCTGCGCATGCGCGTACATCTCCTGCAAGTGCCCTGCCCCCCCACACATGCATGGCAAAAACCCAACAATCAGCTGGCTGGTGAGAGGCACGCACACATGTGCAGTGGAACTGAGCTAGGGCGACGACTCGTGTGCCGGCAGAGATGGCTCTGTGTGCCACTTCTGGCACGCATGCCATAGGTTCGCCATCACGGGTATAGGGCTTCGTCCCTGAGCAGAGAGTTGCACTAGAAGGCCTCCAAAGTTCCTCCCAACTCTTCTAATCTAGTCTAGTCTAGTCTAGCCCTGATTTGAAGCCAATAGTCCAGTTATCAGGAATAGAAAAACCTAAAATTCTGAAATAACTCTTGGCAATATATTTCAATACATATGTTTTTTCTACTTGAATGAAACACATTGATGCATTCAGTTGTTTCAAATAGTTAAATATGTTTCTGTTTTCATCCCCTGCAAGGGGACTTTGGAGACGATTGCCTCCACCTCGCCCCTTTAAAAAGGGTTGGCAACACTAAGAAATATTTTAAAGGTAGTCCTTGACTTACAAGCATTTCTTTTGTACCATTCAAAGCATAAGCACCGTCCCTGTCCTATTGTCCCCAATTATTAGTTCCTATTTCTTATATTTAAACTTATGATTATTCTTATTTCTATTTTATTGTAAGCTTTTGACAAAATAAGTAAATAAAATATATAAATAAAGTTACAACAGTACTAAAAAAAATTATTTATAACTATTTTTCACAACTACTGTTGCTGCGTCCCCCCATTGGTCACGTGATCAGATGCTTGGCAACTGGTTCATATATTTATGATGGTTGTAATGTCCCGGGGTCGTGTGATGACCTTTTGCGGCCTTCTGACAAGCACTGTCAATGAGGAAGCCAGATTCATTTAACAATCATGGTAGTCACATAACAACTGCGGTGATTTGCTGAACAACAATGGCAAGAAAAGTCATCAAATGGGGCAAATGGGGCAAAACTCCCTTAGCCACAGAACTTTTGGACTCATTTATAGTCCTAAGTCAAGGGCTACCTGCAGTCTGTTTCCCACAAAGAGAATGGATTGGTTACACCAACCTCCTGAACAAGTCCCACCCCCCAAACACATATCCTTTATGCTGAACTACAGGTCTAATTATTCTCAAACATTAAGAATTGACTCACTTTTCTCCCCCTGGCATCACTGGATAGTGCCATCAACATTGCCTAACTTGTACTGAAATCAAGAAGCAAACACTTAACCTCTTGATTTTTTCCACGGATCCATTAAATTGCTTGTATTTTTAGAGAGATTAAGATTCTAGTATTGTAAAGTATTTAGTAAGCTTTCACCTTATTACATCATGGTGCAAAAAGTATTTCTTTACACATCAATTTCAAAATAAAGTACTTGATCCTAATTGTTTAACATGAAATCTGATAACACATGAAAAAAGCATGCCTTCGACAAAATACTTTGGAGTGGCAATGTGCTCACTGTTGCACCGTCCTACAACTTCTTCAAGATCTCAAATATTTTATTTGATATATTGAAGACTTTTAGCCATATAAGTAATCTTACTTTAGTCATATGTTATCAAGATATATGATAATATTATGAGATGTATACACTATATGCAATGGAAATATTTATTTCTCTTGGGATGTATTGTTATGACAGTGTCCACAGAATACAAAGCTTTTAATCCTGGCATGCGTTAAGGAATATAGTGACCAATAATCTCTTTTTAAAACTCCTGGCTTCAATTTATAATAAGAGAAACAGCATATTTCCATATAGATAGAGAGCATTCAGCAGTGTTAAAAAAATCACTTGAAGGAATTAGGCCTTTTTTGTTTTTGTCAACACAATCTATACTTAAGAAACTAATCTCAATGGCAATTATTTAAGTTAAATTAGAAAATTCTTAATTAACAGTAAAGAATTAACCTTAATATTTTTGATACACACACACACACATACAAAGACATACAATTAACATCATGTGAATGAATAAATCAGGCAATGTTTCTAAAACCTCAAGGCAGGATTACTGATGCAGTCAGACCCAGTTATTAAACACATTCTAAATTAAACGCTTCTATGAATTTTATACTGAAATATATTGTGATAGTTTTGCATGCCAAATGTGACATTTCATATTTTAGATTCATCTTCTGCAGTAATTTTAGAAATGTCACACAAACAAAGATTTTGCATTTACCAATAGAATTACTATGCATGGCCAGTTAGCTTCTTCTTTTTCTGGCTCTTCTAGTTGTTTCAAGTCAGCAAGCCATAAAAAATCTTTATCTCTCTGAAACACAGCAATTTGGAAGATAATCGAATAGTGACTGGGGGGCAAAAACGCCAGTCTGAGGAATTATACCACAATCTCTCTTGCATTTACAGCATTCCCTCAAAGCTAGTGTCAGTTGAGTAGGAAAAGGAGATACGAGATGCATCGTATCTCAAGCTTGTCTCATTTAAATAGTGGCAGAGCTGCCTTTCTTCTACCTACAATATCACTTTGCTTGGCCAATGTGGGTAAAGTGCTGGAAAAACTCTGCCTTGCCAACATGATCCATGGGGCAGAGGTACTTCTAAACCTAACTAAATTTTGTTATAAAGCACATCTTTGCATTTGCAAAAAATATACATGTTAAAAACCTGCTAAACTCCTTGTGTTTTTTTAAATCTAAACAAAAAGGTTTTTTCAACAAGGAAATCCATATATCTGATCTAATCATTTGCAATTTTCCTTTGAAAACATACAAGGAGAGGGAGGGAGAAAGGGAGGGAAGGAAGGACCGAAACAGTTTACCTTCCAGCAAGGAACAGCTGTTCCATTTGAATTGTGACTCACTCCTGCAAGGTTACAAAGTTTGGCTGCAGCCCTCATTTTCCAGCCATTTGAGGCAGTTTCCAACACCTGATTTTCTGGCTTGCTTGGGTGACAAAGGGAATGTAAAGGGAACATTTTAAATAACATGCATAAATTAAAGGCAACCATGACACCTGAAACTTGCTGCATTCCTTTATTTATTTATTTATTCATTCATTCAATTTCTAAAGCTGTCTATCTCAAACAAATGACTCTGGGCAGTGATCATTAAATCAAATACCTACAAACATACATGCAGACATACTACATATTTGTGTTTCTTAGAGAGAATCCAGGAGTGTAGCCAACCAAAGTAGCAAAAGAATAATATATAACACTTAAGCAGTCCCTGGTGCTCTCTGAGCTTGGTTGTTTTCTGCAGACGTTTCATTAGCAGGTAACATCACCAGTGCAAAGCAGAAACAACCAAGGTCAGGGAGCACCAATAGACCCCATCGTTTCAACCCTGAGCTACAAATAGTCTCCTTTAAATATAACAGTATCGTCCATCTATGTCTGAATTGATTGGCAAAAATAGTAACCTATAATCAAGTGAACACTGGAGTTTACATAAAAGTCCAGATTAGCAAAAGTAGATTGTTTATTATTGCAAGCTTCTGGGAAGGACAAGTGAAACGTCTTCGAAGAAAAACAAGTCCACTTGCCTCTTGAAAAAGCACCTTTGGGATAGAATATCTACTGTATCCCAAAAGCATAACTTGGGCAAAATTTCACACCATCTTCTAGCATTTTAGGATGTTGATTCTGGGATATAGAGTGGTAATATTATTCCTTGATTTATGACAGTGAGTTTCTAAAGTTTCTGGGACTTGAAATATATGAAGGATCAACATTTATTGTCTACCAGCTTTGCAAAAAAAAAAAAAAAATGTTAGCTGTTTCT